TTTATGAGCCGGATGGCGAGGCACAAAAATGACTTGACAGGTTTTAGATCTCAGGAGTGGACGGATCGTTGAAACACCTGCAGAATCCACACCTCAGCAAGTACCGAGCCGGTTTATTAATCAGAATAATGTACAGCTCAGTCGTGTTTGGCTGAAGTGACAGCCGGCGGGTTCTCGTTTTTTTGTTGTCTGACGGTTGAAGACGATCCTCAGCGTGAGAAGCGCTGCAGGCTGCGGGTACAAGAACTTCTATCTTTCTCAGTCACATTATGGTTAACCACTTGAAAATAATTAGCTTTAGATGCATCGTGTCAAGCTTGGTTAGAACAAAACACACCATACAGCATGCATGGATTTAGGGTATGCTATTGAATGTCTATTATTTTGTTTTTTTGCAGAGACCCAGAGGGATGGCAACGTCAGTCCGTCTGTCTCTTTAGTGCAGACGAGAAGTCTGAACTTAATTATTGGAGGCCAGGAGATGAATCCTAATGACTGATCCTCTGACTTTCCTTGTTGTGCCAGAAGCAGGTTTAAGTTTTGACTTATTTGAAACATCTACTGGATGGACAGGTACAAATTTCTGTTCATTGTTCTCAGACAATGCGTCCTGAAGCTTTCCTCTGGTGCCATCATGAAGTTGTTTTTTAATGGACAGTCAACAGCTCACAGGATAATTAACGTCATGTAAAGAAGTAAGAAACTAAATTGCATTCTAATTGACATTTTAAAACAAACATATTTTCTCCCCTGTAATGTCGTAGAAAGGCTTTTAGTTTGAGCAACAAAGTTTATAGTTCGAGGTTGGAGGTGGATTTTCAGGTGCACAGTTGTAGGGTTGCATTTCTTGAACCTTTGTGTGTCATTAACTCTTTTTGGGGTTTTTTTTAGGGTCAGATAACTTGGTTAGATGTCTGTGAAGACTCTCAGTCATCCAGGTCACGGTTATTCTTGTAGTTTAATCGTAGCAACTGGACTTGTTTAAGTTCCACCTCTCATCCAAGAGGCTTCATCAGCTCTGACTGACTAGTTGGGAGTTCCACATACTTATAACCTAAAGGAGCCATTAACACCTGAGTGTGAATTCACACCGAGCCACAAAAGACCTTAACAAACCCCTTTGTGGCAGGGGGAGTACTAACAACTCGCATATCGAGGGAAAGGAGCAACAAACCCCCAATTAAAACCGAAACCCAGGTGTTAATGGCTCCATAAGGATAGAAGTATGTGGAACTCCCAACTAGTCAGTCAGAGCTGATGAAGCCTCTTGGATGGGAGGTGGAACGTCTTCAAGAACCTTAAGCAAGTCCAGTTGCTACGATTAAACTACGAGGACAACATGGTAACCACTTGTTTACTCCAAGGGGAGCTAGCTTTTCTAGCATGCAGACACTTGGTAAAAACAAAACTAGATACAGTTTCATGTGTGATGAAACCACAAGAGGTTTACTAGAAAGTACTGTTTGAATGGAACAAACTCATCATTGTTTTTAATTAAACACCAAACCTGCCTCCTTCCTATAGCTCCAACCAAGACAGCTGTGATTGGTACAAAGAAATACAAACAAACCAGAGAGCTTTTTAACCTACAGCAGAATAGTTTGTACCACAGAATGGTCCGGTAAAGCGAGATTAACTTGGTTAATCCAAAAAAAAATAATTTTGACTTCATTTCTATATATTTTAATAGTAGGTATTTTGTTTTATTTATTTTAATTAGCCAGCTTATTTAATCTTATTTTATGTCACTTTATCTCATCTGGTGTTTCCTCATGGCCCGTTTTATATCAGATAGTGTTTCCTCAGTTCTTAAATTCCAGTGGCTTAGACTCGTGTATTGATAATCGTACAGCTGTCATTATTGTGGAAATCAGCTAAAGAGAACACAACTCGCTCTAAACATGTTTATGTTTGCATTAAAGTTGGACATTTTTAAATGGGGGTCAATGGGGCTTTACTCGCTTTTAGAACCAGCCTCTAGTGGCCATTTGAAGAACTGCAGTTTTTAGCACTTCCCCCTCTGGCTTCAATTTTCAGCCCAAGAACTTTCTGTTTGGTCCCATTAAAGATGAGCTGTGATGTTTCCACAAGGACCAACATTGAGTAAAAATGTTACTTTGAAATGCGTAGATTTATGACCCGACACATCCTCATTGGACTCAGCTGTGCTTAACTAAAGTTTGCTCACATTTAACTGGAAGCACAAGTGCAGCCTCACAACACAGTCAGAGGCTCTTAAGACTTCGTTAAACTATGTTTATACAGGACAGTTTGTTCACTGTCTCTTTGTGCCAAAGGGATAAATGCTGCTTTTCCACCTAGATTTACATAGCTGGTCCAGGAAATCAGCTGCGAGCGTTCCAGTTACTTCCTACGTGTTTCTGCAGACATCCAGGAAAGCACCACCTGCAACCATCAGATCTTGAACTGGTTCCTTAAAAGTTCCTGTTTGTTAGACAAGAATAGAAAGCTATCCGTGTCGCCGAGACGTTCCCCCGTCAGCCTAACATCTTAACCGTGTCTGTCAGATGTTGCTAAATTGCCAGGAAAACAAGCAACCAACCCCTCTGTTAGGCCATGACAGATTTCTGCCATCGGTGAGGAGACGGAGTGAACAACAGAGGAGAGAGACCCATGTCCTTCCTCATCATCTGAAAACAATAAGACAACAAGAGAGCGGGAATTAAAAGACTAGAGCCGTCTAATCTGGAACAACAGAGGAATGTCAGGGAGATGCCACAGCACCCTTTTATCCCAGATGTGTGCTATTAGGTCCACGGGACCGATTCATGGGCCAGACTCCGCTGGATCGGATTTCTTCCTCCGCTAATGCCACCGGACATACGATCTGACAATGATAATGATGATTACTTCAAATGACATGCCTTCCATTGTGGAAGAAGTGGAAAAAAAAAACCTAAAACACAGAGGCATGCACGCAGACGCACACCAAGAACAAGACGATAGTCGCAGCGTTAGCAGGAACGAGTTATAAACGACGCGGCACATCGCATTCCTCCGCACTGTTTAAATGTTTCACAGCTTCTTGTGCTGTTTGTGTAAGAAGATGAAAATATGGAACAATAATAATAAAACAGAAAAAGGTCAAAACAACAAGCTGGTTTTGGAGGGAAAGCACAAAGCGCTGCCAAGTTTGGCTTTTTTAATGTTTTGGATGTCCGTATGAAGTTCATCATTAATTTAATGCAGAGTTAAAAACAAGAGCCAGGCCTCGTCTCCGGCACAATGCTTCTCTTGCTGATTAGAGCCTTAAAAATAAGGGGCGAAATAATCTGCGGTTTTGTTCTCTTCAGTGCAGTTTTAACTAGTATTGACAGCGTTTTCACAACACAGGGTTTTCAAAAATGTTTTTTTTTGCAGTTGGAGTCTATTTTCAGGTTCCTTTGGACCCTCAAAAAACACAAAACACATGATGAGCATTAAGCCCTGAATGCCACCACTCCTATCTCCACTTGGATATCCTTGGATGGAAACAACCCAAATGCATAAACCTCCGGCGAAGCCGAGGAGGTGTGATGTTTTAAGATGTAATCTCGCGGCGGGGCGGCCAACGTAAAGAAATACAAGTCCTTTTTTAGCCACGGGGAGCCGAGCGAGTTGGACGTACGAGAGTCTGTTATCGCTCTCATCACCTTCATACTCTGAAACTTCTCTCGTGATCCGCAAAGAAACCCTCAGTAAGAGTCAGTAGATGTGTCTTTGAGGATGTTTCCACGGGAGATGCCACTTCACAGATGCAGAACTAATAATCGTCGCATGGCTTTAATGCGACTGCTGTCCCGTAACACACAACGGTTCTTCTTCGTGATGCCGTTTTTCAGGATTGTTTTTCGTCACAAACGTCTCTCTCAAAGGAATCACCCCCGTACGGGATTTCTTCCTTTTTAATAGAACAGTTTTTTTTCTGAAAGCGATTTTTCCTCACAGCACTTTTGTTCCACTTCATGTCGTCAAGCCGAAACTTGGCTTCGTAGGATATTTGTATCCCATTTCATTTGCCATAAACAAAAACCCCAAGACAGTGTTGCAGTGATTCAAACACAAACTCACAAGAATAACAGATGAGCTCGACGTTTCCTCACAGCTTCCTGCCGCTTTTGACCGAAGATTCAACCAGTGTTACACAATCTATGATTTAGGGCAGCAAAGGTGCCAGTCTGGTGATGCTAATCCACTTTGGGAGGAGGTCAGGGTGGATGGACGGGTCAGCAAACAGCCAGATTTTGCCAAAAGTGGTTCAGTGTTTGTTTCCCATTTCTCTCACTTTAGAAAACAAAATCAGAAAATACGTTCATTGTCCAACAATGATTTGCACCAGAAAGCACCGAAGAGAGCTCAGATCAGAAGATGATTCCTGTGTCATCCCTAAAGTGGAGTTTGTTTTTTATGAAAAGAAGAAGTTATTGCAAAAAGCCTGCGTTGTCCAAGAACTTCTTGTTCCTGAGTCTCAGTATCATGCTGCAATTTGACTGTTCACAATGCGGCGGTAATAAAGGACAGCTGGAACTGGACAGGCTAGTTCTGAAAGGAGGCTAGGTTTTCATTGGAAACACAACAAGAACAATGGCCATGTTGTTCGCCCGTGTTGTGGACAACGTGTCCGTCACTTATCGCTGGAGCTACGACATATTTCAGACAATTCATTCGGCATTTTCTCTTCCATCCTGAGGTTGTTTTGAGCCTTCAGGTGACACCAGCGAGGGATGCCCAAACGTACAAGTCAAAACAAGCAAACCAGCGCTGCAGCAAAGCTCCAGGAAACTATTCGCCTACGAGTGTTAATGAGAATGTTGACGGAGTCCAACCTGCCCGGCTTGGCATTATAAATCGCACAAGAGTGTCAACGCAGCACAAAACACAAGGCCGGGAATCCACAGATGTTGGCACTGTGATGTAGTAAATAAACCAGCCAGCTGTACGAGACGGTGGTTATTAGACGCACATTTAAGTTCAGCTAAATGTTTGTTTGCACTTCTCACCTGTGGGACACTTTTTCTTCATCCGGCACCTCTGCGTCTCGCTGTGGGACGGGCAGAGCGATGCCGTTTTCTCCTCGGGCGTCCTCTGGCCGCCCCCTCGGGTCCTGGTCTGCTTCCCCCACCTGAACCCACAGGTGGCGCCGTCACGGAGGCAGACGCTCCACTCGCTCCAGTCTCCCAGCGGAGCCAGGAGACAGTCCTCTAACGGAGACCAGAACCAGAGAGCAAAGAGACAAATTGATTAAAGAGGCCTCAGACGCAAAAGAAAACATATTTCAAATTAAAAGTTGTTTTTTTTTGTGTGTGTGTTTTTTCTTGTAACCAAACCAGAAAAATGAAAAGAGGATAATGCCGGGCAAGCAGCAGAGCTGTAGGAGCCAAATGCTTAATCATTTCCACATGTGAATCCAGTGAACTCTAAGGTGTTCTTGAAAGTGAAAGAAAAGATCTCATGTGGTCAGAACTGGTCCGTATCATTAATCTGATTATTCATTGATCTTAGTCCTACTAAACTGCACTCTCAATTACATTTTAAAGGAATCAAACAAGCCAAACAGTCATATATAGGACAGAATGGGACTTGACACCCTGGTAACCAAGAAAAAGGAGGAAAAGCTTCAACCGTGTAGTAATAGAGTCGTATTTTAACCCCAAAATGGTGTATTTCCTCACCCAAGCTAGGTGTTACTGGTGTCTAACCAAGCTTCTAACAGTGTTTAACAAAGGGAGATGTTTTCCTAAACTTAACCAAGTAGTTTTTGTGCCTAAACCCAACCAAAGAACGAGAAAAAGCTGAAAGGAAAATGAAACTTAAATGTCAGAAAAATGGTCCCACATGAACTTTGTCGCTTTTATAAACTGGACGTCTTTCCTACCAAGACACAGTCAAGAAAAGGTTTCATAATGTAAATGAGAATGCAGTTTAGTTCCATAGGACAGTTATTTTTCCAAACCCTAACCAGGTTTCTAACATTTAAAAATGTCTAATAAAGCCAAAAACCCCACATAGTTTCTGGTGCTTAAACTGAACCAGAAAGCAAACATGAGCCGAGACATCGATCTGCTCTGTTGGGTTAAAGTTCTGGTTTTTGCCACCAACCAACCTTCTCCGTCACCTTTTCCACCAAGTTACGGGTCTCAAATTCTGTTTATTTCGAAACAAACTCATGTTCCCTTTAAAACGCGTTTGAGAATTCAGCTTAGTCGTCATTTTTCTGCAGACCGGGTTGCACCGTATCAGTAGAACTTGTGTTTTTAGTGCTGCTCTAAATGAGCCGTTTTAATCTGAGCCGCTGCTGCTCCCGCCGAGTTAAACGTCAGCGATCAAGACGGACGGTTTGCAGCAGATTATGATAAGAGGTTGTACATGAGTCTCCAGTGGTTTTTAATCATAACAGGGCGGCCCAATAAAAAGCTGCACAGGAGATCTGCGGTCTCTCTTGAGTTTACACACAGTCTCATGTAGATCAGTGTTAGATCGGTTCGGCACTGAACATAAATCAGGTATAAAAAACTTCTTCCTGTCAAACTGCATAAATAAACTGCAGGCACTGGTGAATACTTCAATATAATATTAAGAAACACAAGAGTACAGCTTCTATTACTGATCCATCGGGGCTGAAACATCTGTACAGGTGTTATTTTACCAGCCCTACATCCCTTATCAGGAGTTTTGGTGTTGATAAAGACTTCAAAAATTAAATCAGCACAATGTTTAAAAGACGATAAACTAGAACTATGTATTGTCTGTGCTTTATGATGTTTAATCTGAATGTATTTATTCAATAGCCAGCATGTAGAATAAACCTTCAAAGTCACACAAATAAAGTGAAAATCTGTAAATCAACAAAAATTAAAGTTTATCTTAAACGTCATGTTGTTGAGCCAACGTCTAATGATCGCATCGGTACAGGTCGGACTAGTTCTTTAGTTTCTACATTTTGATTTAACAACTTATGAGACAACAACCACAGATGTGAACAAACATCACCATCTCTAGCAGTCCTAATAGTTACTGTCAGCAGTGGTATTTAATTATAAAAGCACAGTACTGCGGTAAAGAAAAGTAATAATGTCACTACCAAGAACAACAGAACAATGGATCATATGTTGTACAAACAGATTTAAGAGGCCAGCTAATTTCAGTGGAGAAGTGAGACATAAATGATTCTGAAAGTGAAATAAAGTTGTCTACATTTCTATCTCTCAAATACCTCGTCTTCTCAAGGTGAACACATCTCATCAGGTCATGCACCCAATTAATACGAGCAGGTGGTTGGTGGGTAAGATTTGAAAGTATGTATCAGGCATCTTGATATTCAAACAGCAAGAGCTTCTACTTTTGTCTTGATAAGTTTAGTTTCATTCCTCTTTCCGTAGCACCACTTCCATCAGAACACCAACAGAGTCGGGTCATACAGCTCAGCCATTCAGATTACTTAATTCCAGTGCTCGCTGTTTTTCTCTATCGGTGAAAAATCACCCGAGCCCTTCAGAATTGGCTGATTGTTTTTGTGGATTGTCTTTGGTGTATCTGATGAGGCCACGCAGGGTTTTACCTTCGTGCTATGATTGGTTTCAGAGTTTTGGACTCTTGAAGGTTAAAACTTTAGAGTTTCATGCTTTAAAATGGATTTCCACCGTATGACACCTTCGATAAGTTGATTTAATAGAAATTTATGCAAATTTTTTTTTCCCGTTGTTGTTCTTATTGTTTGTTTTCTCTCCACCTTACCCTCACCAGTTGAGGCAGACGGCTATTGCATCTGGACCCGGTTCTGCCGGAAGTTTCTTCTTTATACACTCGCCAAATGCTTTCTAAAGGTAATCATTGGATTTCTCTTTATTATGTAATATTATAAGGCCTTGACTTTGCTATGTGAAGAACCTTAAGAGTACTTATTAGGGATTGGCTGATATGGGTTGTTCAGGGTTGATATCGATGCCATTGTTGGAAATTAAGGAAGACTGATGGAACCAATGTAGACTAAATGTAATATTTTTAGAGCATGTGACAGCAGGAATCTGTCATTCATAACGAGGTTTCTTCATTAATACAGGCGACTATAACTGAATATGTAAAATAGGAATGACTACATTAGGATGCTCTGAGACTGACCAGTTTGTCTCCTGAGGTTACATCTGCCGTTCTTCGTTATTTTATCAATCTTTCACCGTTCTATCACTTTAATTATTCACTACAGTCCAGATCTTACAGCATTGATAATTATTGTTCTCCAGACCCTGTTCCAGGTTAATCTGTGGCTTCCTGCTGACTTAGCCGTTAGCCGTTAGCATAGCTTTAGCTGCTGTGAGAGGAGCTAACTTCCTGGTTTGTGGCAACTGCTTGTGTTCAGTTTTTGCAGTTTCTGCTTAAAAGAAATGAGACCACAGAGAGATGACAGAGAGTGGTGCATTTAATTCAAAATATCAATAATCGGCCACTAAAAATAACGATACAGATAATTGGGAAAAAAAAAGCAAAATATCGGCCACAATAAAAGCCCAGGCCGATAACAGGTCTATTCCTATTACTTAATGTTGTTGGCAGGCCGACTGTGCTCCCAGATTAAAGCGATGGACCGAGATAACGGAGATAAAACAATAAATCACGGCCATAAAGTGGGAACGATATACGGAGACTAATGTTTTCTTTGGACCCCTGGCAGCCGCGGCGCTCTGATTGAAGGCAGATGAATGCCAGCTGAAGCATCAACACACGGGACGCTGCGCTTGTAGCGAGCGGCGGCCGACGAGTGATGTCACCCACAAAATCAGCCGCCGCAAGATTTTCCACAAACGGAAAAGCAGCGGCAGCTCCGGCTCAGACGCGAGGCCAACATTTCTCGGCAATCACGATTATCATCTTCAGCTTCGCGATGAAGAAATTTCCAGTGACCCTTTTTTTTTTTTTTTGTCTCTCTGGAGTTGCTCGAGGTGCGTACCAACAGTCAGACATGAAACCGTAACATCGCCATGAAAACCAGATGTGGTCCGGATGCCAAGAAAACAACAGTAGCTGCAGATGGTGCAGGTGGACGGCAGAGCGGCGTCGAGCGATGAGCGAGCCTCCGCGATATATCTCACTTACTTAGAAGGGAGGGATGATACACAACGAGATATGAAGATAAATTCTGAAGCGTCTCTCAAGACTTTTAATGCGAATCACATGCTGCGCAGAGACTTTGGCCCCATCAGAAACTATTTAGACGGAGGGAAAGAGCCGTTGAGCGTTCGCAGAACCAGGTGACGACGGTATTTTAAATATTTCAAGACAGAATTTGTAGTTTGAACTTGCCAGCGATAAAAACACATAAAATCTTTTACTGCTGCCACTCCCTGAGAAATATTCGATTCAAGTGAAGGATTTGTTTCTCTCGCAGGTGCACTCGGTCACGACTTAATCAGATTATTTGACTAAAATCGAAGCGCAGATGCTCAAACATTCGCACGTGAAGCGACCGCGGGGATGCGGCCAAAGATCCAGAGAGGCAGATAAAAGGAGAGGAGTTTGCGGGAACAAGTCTGCTGTTGATTAAACCTCTCAGATTAGCTGATGCGACCTACATTTTATAGCCGGACGGGGTCAGTGAACTGTCACCGGCTTCAAAACAGCAATTAGGATAGTAAAGGTGTTTTATCGTGCCGGTTCGTGAAATGTTCTTGACTCTTATCTTGGGTTGATGTGGAACATGGCGTTTACATTAGAAGTACCTGGTTACACGTCTCCCCGTACACATGATTCTAACGTTATCCAGGTTTCCAGGTTTTTCCCTCCACATCTGGTCTTTGTGACAGTGTCTTCTCTTAAGTCATCCCTGTGAGGATGAACCCTCTTTGGTTTCTGGCTGCCTGGAAGCTACACAAACAGCAGTAAAGGCTCCTATAGGTCTGGTCAGCAGCGCTGGAATACATTAGCAGTACTCCCCCTTTTATTTTTTTTTTCTGCATGCAGTCCACCGCTGTTCCATTTATCATTCGACTTTATGTTTAAGATGCATCTGCACACATAAAAGCGGGCAGAAATGTAGAAACCTAGATGAGGTGTTTACATGCTGCAGAATTCCAGTTTTTGCATATTTGTTGTCCTACAAAGTGGTAAAAGGGGTTAACCAGTGCTCTGAAACCAGGCTATGTTAAAATCTACACAACCTGGATGCTCTAAAAACCTCATGACTCAGAGGCAAGTGTGCATGTAATCACCTGGACAAAGTTGAAAGCTGAACGATGCATTCCTCTCGATGCTTCTTGCTGTTAGAAGCGTCCATTAAATTTAAAACATCACCACTGAGACGCATCCGAGCCTCCACAAGTGGGACTGGACTCATCTCTTGAGACTATTTTGATCACAAGGAGTTGTGTAGTGTTTTATGAACATGCAGAGATGATGACGTGATTGATTACCTCAGGATTCTTAAATACTAATTGGGTCTTTGCATCAAATTTTTCAAACAAGTTTTACTCGACCGTCTCTGATTTGCATACGGTGGTGATTGAAGAAATCATTCCGAAAGAAATTACACTAAACTACAAGACAGGTATCCTCCAAACCGAGGTTTATTCCTACAACGTGAGGTCTGAGAATGAAAAATACAACTTGTCCTACTTTCTTTGTTAATGTGAGCTCACAGATGATGACAGCTTCATATTTTTTTCATATTTCAACTCACCAATTTCTCGAGATTATTTGATCTCCTTATTTGATATTGCAGATTCTAAATTGTCGACATGATGAGAAACAACAGTGAAAACTTCAGGCTTTTATCTTAAACAGTTCCTGAGATGTTGTCATTCAAACAGCCTCAAATTTTGAAAAAAAACACGCTGAAAAAAACATAAGGAGCAAATCAGAGGTGTTGCAGCATGAAAAAGGCGTCTGATGATTTGAGATGAAATAACCCAAATATTCCATCGTGTAGATACGATTTGATATAATCTGTGAGTGAACTGTTATAATAACTCTTGTCCAGATAAGTGAAACAAATGCCGTTGCTCGCAGGCAGAACTCATTAAAAGCCATTCATGACTCATTACTCAGTGGCGTAATATCAAGAGCGTGACCTACCGAGGCAGTCGGACTGGTGGGCGAAGGTTCCCTCCGGGCAGCGGCTCAGACACTTGCCTTTGTGCAGCTGGAAACCAGGTTTACATTTGGTGCAGAAGTCGCGGCTGAAACACTGCTCGCAGTCCAAAGAGCGACACTCTGACGGGAGGGACACCAACACACATGAGTCACAAACTACTTTCATTATGAATCCAAGAGGAAACCCTTCTGTCGTTTCCATACAGGTTTGAGTTGTGGGGGTAAAACACACATGAGGAAGGATGAAGCTGTTTCAACATGTTGCAGCAGTTTAAACTGTTCACTGACCAAAATACTGCAAAGAAAAAAAACAGGAAATGGCATCTTAGCTGCTTAAATATGGATTTTGGACTTCCTGTTGAACGATAGGAGTGACGGACATCAATTTAAACCAATGGGACAGGTGTGGGAGTTTAATTAGATAGAAGTAGCTCAAACTGTGGCGTTGGTGGATCAGAAAATGCTTCAGCATCTTATGAAACAGGGATGCTGTTTGTTTTGTTAGTAGCTGAAGCAAGATTTTGTCTTTTAGGGATGTTGTCTGCGTAAACTACGTCAATCCAACGCAAATATCCACAAGCGCCGATGAGTTTTAGAGCGCACCCTCTCCTGAGCCACCTCTGAATATTTATTCCTTCGTTGTTTTTCTATCAGCAAGTATTTTAATCAGAGATGTTGCTCTCAGGTCGAGGGATGCCAGCAGTGGTGGGTTCGTCTGCAGCTGTAGCGGAGCAAAGAAGAAGAAAAAACAAGCTAAACTTCTGGTGACCTCTTTCCAAAGGCTTACTGGCATCTCTTGAGTCAAGTAAATTTTTTTAGTGAATGAGACAAAAACTATGCACTGTTAGGTAGAGTTTCTCTTTCTTTTATTGGGACAGTGTGTTTCTGGAATGAATTAGGCGTCTCAATAAAAGAAGAAGCGGTCCAACAGTGTAAACTCAACAGTGTTTGTGGGTACTGTGTGTTCTTGGTGACTAGCTGAGGCCTCCAGACGGTTGAATCGGGTTTAAACTGGCTCGTGACGCTTAGTCAGATCTCTGCGGGTAAAAGAAACGTACTCATGCAGCGGTTGATGTCCTTCCCTCTCTGTCCGTAGTGTCCGGCCGGGCAGGCGTGGAGGCAGGTCCCGTGGTGCGACATCCCATCCCTCTGCAGGAACAGGAAGAGTCTCTCGGGGCAACGCACGCAGCCGTTGTCGCGGGAACACTCCAGGCAGCTCCGACAGTCCTCCGATGTGTCTCTGTGAGCTGCAGGAGACAGTCGGTTAGGTCGGAGCTAAACGCCGGAGCTACTCAAACAAAAGTAAGGATGGAGAGGGGAGATAAAGAGACGCCACAAATCCTCCAGATACCGGGAGAATTTCTGGACTGCGTGAAAAAATAAAAAATAAAATCCCACCGCTGAGCTCCTGGGATCTGTAGATGCTGCAGGCAGGAAGGAGTTCACGTGTAGCCTCAGTTTAACACCAGACTGTGCAGCTGAATTTACCCCCAAAAAACTAAACAGTCCCATCGCATAGCGCTGGGAGTCGTTTCTACTTCATGCATTTTCTTGGTTTTGTCACAGTGCGTGCACTCTTTAGGGCCTTTTGTCACCGTGCGGCGATTGATTTAGAACTTCTATGTGCCCGATCATTGAATCAAAAATGTCAAACAAAAAGAAAAGTGGTGCAAAAATGAGGTTTATAAGCTGCTCTGAGGATGTGTCTGTCATGTCCCTGATTTATTGGTTCTTTAATCACTCCAGGCTGCTGGTTGCAGCTTTTCTTTAAATACTTATTCAAAATTGACACCATGAAAGCAGGACAACAAGCTCGACTGTCTCTCTACGTTCATGCAGACTCACAACCGTCCACCGTAAGACAATAATGTAGGAGCACAAATGACTCTTGCTGCTGTATCATTAAGGCAGAAGAGAAAATAAAACAAACAAACCAAATCCAGAACCTAAAATAATGTCTAAGACCAGTAGGATGAACTTCCTGTTTGCATCCAACCTTGTAGAAACCCCAAGAACACCTTTACAGTTCCTCGTTGTTCTAATTGTATTCAATTGTTTTGTAGTTGTGCTCATTTTGAGAAGTTTACTGCACAACCTGATGAACATCGACTCCTCGTGGTGCTACGAGCAATTTTAAAATGAAAATTTCCTCCTAATTCATAGTTTTTCAGTCGTTGCACCTCATCGGCGAGAAAGTTGTTTCTTGCTTTGAACATCGTTTGCGCAGTTCGACATTAAATAGAGATTTTGTTTTGGAAAACAATACATCAGTGTGCTCGTTACATCCCACTGTGGTCTTCACACGGCTTTAAACTTAAATGTTAAACATAAAACAGAAAATGATCCTTCAGCTGCTGTGAATGCAGCAAGTGTTATTTATTATAGCAAAGCTTAATCCTACAAAACTACGTTCTGTTTTGTGGCTTCATAGGAATCTAAAGCAGCATCGTAATTAAAATACACATTAAAAAAATGAAGCCATAGTGAGTTTTGACATTCAGGCTTAAAGTCTGAGCCGAAGGAAGCCTCCGGTGTTAAAACCGAAGCGAGCAGCGACGTCTGCGCACGCCAGAGCCGGCAGACGGAGCAGGAATGCTTCCAATCCGACGGGGATCAGGGGGGATCTGGAGAGACGGCCGAGGTGGGATGGAAAGACGGATTGAGATCTGCGGAGGAGGCGAAGGCCGGCCGGCTGGAGTGCGTGAGTCGGAGCAATCGAGCTCTGATCCTCGTGAAATACCCGCAGCCCACCGCCGGAGGTGTCC